TGGAGATGGAGGAAGGGAACTATGAGCCAAGGAATGCAGGCAGTCTCTAGAAGATGGCAAAGGCAAGGAAACATATTCTCTCCTAGAACTTCCAGAAAGAAACAGTCCCACCAACACTTTGGTTTTAGTCCAGTGAGACCTGTATCAGATTTCCGAACTATAGAAGTGTTAGATGATAAATTTGTGTTTTTTAAGCCACCAAATATGTAGTAATTTGTTATGGCAGAAATCGAAAACCAATACATATATTATGACTTCCTGACTACCAAGACCAGGATCAGTAAACTTCTTACTACCTATGGGAAACAACCAACCTCTCCATTATCTAAGATCTGTTGCTGTTACCTGGCAGCAGATTTAGAATAGACATGATCGCTTTTCTGTGTCCTGACTACTACCATGACCCTGTCTACCCTTGCCAAAGCAAACCATGAGCTAAGACAATTACCTACAGATTTTGAAGGAAGTAAATTTGCAGTCTGAATTGTCCCCAATTCTCTGCTCAAGTCTCTGCTTGGCAAGTCTGCCCACATCTCTCCTACTGAAGCTCCCCAGCAGATCTGGGAAAACCAGATAAAAAGAATGCCCACAGGTTCCCCAATTCTCACATATGGAAAGAATACCTAGTATGTGTGAGGAGAGGGTGGAGGGGTATGTGCAACGTAGTGAGAAGAGAAACTGCTATCTACAGTTGATATTTTTATTCAATAATATGAGCAAATATTTACTGATTGCTTACCATAAACTGACTATAACCCTCAGAAAAGTTGACCCACTCCCTACAGAGCCATTCATTCATTCGCTCAGCAAATATTTACTGAGCTCCAACATGTGCCACAGTCACTGGGCACTAGAATCCAGGTCTCCTTCAGAACTCTTGTCTTAGAGCTTTTTCAGGTTCATCATAAGACATGGGGTGTAACTCTACTCCCATCAGCCATGTTTCTCAATTATCACCCACTTACCAGGGGTTATTATTCTGAAGATTTCTGCAAAATTTTCCATTCTGAGCAGACCTGATCCACATAAATTGCCCAAATTCACATGCTTCCCCATCTACCACTTTCACCCTCCCTGAACTTTCCTTCAGTCCCCAGCACCACTTGGCTCAAGGGTTCCAACCTCACCAGTTTTCTCTTTCAACACCTCCTTCTGCTTGTTCTGAAAGTGCTTATCAGGAGAACTGTGAAGCTACCAGGTGTCCCCAGTTCCAGTCCAAAGTAGGGGCTTTCCTTAAAGCTTTCTGACTTCCTTCCTCTATTACTACTCCCTATTAAAAGCTCATTGACTCTTAAAATTTCAATAACTGGCTGAGCGTGGTGGTGATGCCTATAATCCCAGCACTTCAGGAGGCCAAGGGGCGAGGATCACTTGAGAACAGGGATTCAAGACCAGCCTGGACAACATAGTGAGACTCTGTCTCTATAAAAATTAAAATAAATTTTTAAAAAAGCTGGGCATAGTGGTTCATGTCTGTAGTTTCAACTACTAGGGAGCCTGAGGTGGAAGGATCACTTGAGCCCAGGAGGTCAAGGCTGCAGTGAGCTGAGATCATGCCACTGCACTCCAGCCTGGGCAACAAAGTGAGACCCTGTCTCAAAAATAAATAAAAATTTCATAACCACGTTCAGAGATCTCATCGAAATGACGACTAATGTAGGTCTTCATTAACTCATCCTGAATTACACCAATGGCCTCCTAGCTGGCCTCCCTTGTGGCAGTCTCTTCCCATCCTGTCTTCCCAAACACTTAGTAAGTGCTTATTCAGGCCCAGATACTGATACAGGCATCAAAGACACAACCACAGTAACGCACAGTGACTAAGGGCACATCCTTTGGAGAGACGCAGTCCTGGGTCTGGCAGGGCCACAAGCAACTCCGGCACTTAGAATTACTTAACCTCTCTATGCCGGGCCAGGTGGCTCATGCCTATAATCCCAGCACTTTGGGAGGTCAAGGCAGGTGGATCACCTGAGGTCAGGAGTTTGAGACCAGCCTGGCCAACATGGTGAAACCCCGTCTCTACCAAAAATACAAAAAATTAGCCAAGGGTGGTGGCAGGCACCTGTAATCCCAGCTACTCGAGAGGCTGAGGCAGGAGAATCGCTTGAACCTGGGAGGTGGAGGGTGCAGTGAACTGAGATTGTGCCACTGCACTCCAGCCTGGGCAACAAGAGTGAAATTCCATCTCAAAAAAAAAAAAAAATTAAAAAAAAGAATTACTTAACCTCTCTATTATCTTTGCTTTCTCATTTGGAAAAGATAATAAAGTTGCATAATTCTCAGGGTTAAAGAGAGCATTAAGTGAGATAATGCATGGAAAACACTGAGCATAGTGCCTAGCACAAGGCAAGCACTCAATAAAAGTTAACAGTGACAGTAAATGGAGCTGTCAGGTGAGCAGCAGAGATGAATATGTATATTCCACAAGTAAGGGTTCGTGGAAGATAGCACTTGGTAGGTGTTGTGAGCAGAGGGAGTGAGTGACGAATATAATGATATGGAGCCAGACCTTGAAGGTTAAAATGGAATATTCTAGGTGGAGAGGAGGGGAAAGATTTTCCAGCTTCAATGCCTGAGCAAAGACACAACACAGAGGGAAGAGACATTGTGTAATGAAGTAATGGCCATCTGTCACTCTGTGCCAATCCTGACTAGACCTTGAGCTCCTTAAGGGGAGGCATCTTACGGGAGAGCTGCTCATTCACATATGCAATTGAGCAGCAATTTTATACCAGGCACTGTGCTAGGTGACAAGATTTTCTGCTTGTCCCCTGCCCTCAAGAAGCTTCTAACTGAGATCATAATAAACAAGAAACTGGCGCTCAAGCCTGTAATCCCAGCACTTTGGGAGGCCGAGACGGGCGGATCATGAGGTCAGGAGATCGAGACCAGCCTGGCTAACACGGTGAAACCCCGTCTCTACTAAAAATACGAAAAATTAGCTGGGCGTGGTGGTGGGCACCTGTAGTCCCTACTACTCAGGAGGCTGAGGCAGGAGAATAGCGTGAACCTGGGAGACAGAGCTTGCAGTGAGTGGAGATCACGCCACTGCACTCCAGCCTGGGTGACAGAGCAAGACTGTCTCAAAAAAAAAAAAAAAAAAAAGGAAAAAAAAAAGAAAATCTTTTCATGAGCTCATTTGCTCTCTCCTGCCCTCTTTCTCTCTCCTGGTTAGGAGAGACCCCCTCTCTTCCTTTTCCCCTCTACTTAAACCCCTTCAGTGGCTTCCCCTTGTTCCTCAGATAAATGTCAACTTCCTCAGCATGGGCTCCAAATGGCCCTGTGTGTTATTACCCCAGAACACACCTCACATACCATTCCCCTCATTGCTCCTTGTTGCTCCACCACACTGGCCTTATCTAAGGTCTCTAACCAGGTGTGTCCCCCTCTGCCACAGGTCTTTTGTGTAGCTGTTCTCTTTGCCTCTCAGGTCCTGTGATCCCCCTCTTCCCTCAGTTAACATTTATTCATCCTTTAGCTCTTTGCCCAGATTTTCTTCCTTAGCAAATCTCTGAGACCATGGCTGGAACCACTGTTATACACGCTTATGGTACTGTCTATCTTTCTTCAAAGCATTTATCACAGTTTATAACATTTATTTGTGTGATATTTGATTAAAAATAGTACCTCTCCCCTCCCCCACTAGATGATACGCTCCAGGAGGGCAAGAACATTACCTATTTTTTCTTACCATTGTATCCCAAAGATTGAATACATTTAATAGGCTTTAAGGGGGTTAGATATGGATTTTCCAAAATCTTAGATATTCTTTTCTGACAGAGCAAGGAAAGAAGAATGTATCTTCTATTAATAGTAACAAACTATTAACCAGGAAGAAGAGGAGAGAGTCAGTGTCTGATACTCATTCTGTTGCAAACTCAGGATATTTCCCCTGCCTCCTCTGGGAAAACATCCCTGAGGTCAACATGGCACTTGTTTCCAAGATGTGTCATCCTTCCTGAGATGGCCCATTACCGTCTTCAGAGCCCTCCACTTCAGACCTGCCTCCTCTTCCAGCCCTCTTTCCAAAGCACAAACCAAACCATCTGATTGCACAGGAAACGGGGAGTGAGAATTCAATGGGCTGCCACTCATTAACTGAGTGTCACATAATAAACATTACTCCACAAAGCCCTTTCACAAACAGCACTTCATCTCATCCTCAAAACAACCCTGTGAAGCAAGCAAAGCAGACATAACTATTCCCATTTTAATAGTTGGGGAAACTGAGGTTCAAAGAGGCAAGTGACTTACTCAAGGTCACAAAGTCTGTGTGAGGCAGAGGTAGGATTTCAACCTACAGACTCTAACACTTAGTCCAATGCTTTTCCTTACGTTAGCCGCCCCAACAGTTCTAATACCAGTTACTTAACCTTGGTTTTCTCATTCCCTTAAATAAGCACCTGTTCCTGACCCCTCCACACATCCTCAGCCCAGTTTGCAGTCCCTACCCAGAAGTTTTCAAGTGTCTGTGCAATGGGGCAGAGGGAGTCACAAACCGGGTCACCCTATCGGGGATTAGTCCCAGTCTCCACAGTCTTTTCCGGCTTCTCCTCTGAACCACTGGGGAACCAAAAACCCCCAGAAATAAAAACACAAAGAGAAGACGTGCCCCACCAGAGCAAGGTCCCTGGCTACCCTTTCTGCCCACGTTAGGGCAGGACAACGCGAGGCCAGACGCCGGCCCCTTCCAACGGAAAGACGCTAGGAGAACAAGAGGTCGCAGCCCGCCGGCTGTCAGGGCTCCTGGGCGGGCGGCGCAATGCATGCGGCAGAGATGGGCCAGCTCCCAGGTTCGGCCCAAGGTCACTCTCTTGCAGCCCCGGCCCGGTCCCCAACCGCCCGGAGCGCCCCCTGGTGTCCCGGGCTGGCCTCCCCTCGCCCTCAGGGAGCGGCCTGGGAAGCCTGGGCTCGGGGGCAGAAGGAAGGAGGGTGGGTAGAGGATGAGGAGGCTGCGCCCCGGGGAGGAGCGGGAGGCGCGGGAGGCGGGGCCCTACCTGATAGCTGAGGACGCCGTCCGGCTCGTTACTCCCGGCGGCCGGCATGGCGGAACCGAACTAGGTCTCACCCGCGGGCTCCAGGCCGAGCGTCAGCAGCCCGCGCCCTCTCGTCAGGTCTGAGCAGATCACTCGAACGGCGACCCCTACCCCGGAGCCAACGGTCAACCATCAACCGCCGCCGCCTCCATAGCCACCGGCCCGCGAGGCATCCGCCGCAACCAATCAGCGAGCGGCCTGCGCAGCCAATCAGGGCGCGGAGCACGAGAGGACGCTGTCCGGCGGTACCCTGGGCTACCGCGGGGAGGGGGAGGAGCCGGGGAGCCAACCGCTCCAGGGCCCGGTTGCCTTGGAAACCGCCTCCCTCCCTTCAGAGGCCTCTGGGCGTGAAGGTCCTTCCAACTGCTTGCTAGAAAATCTCTGCTTCTATTTGCAGCTGCACCTGACCCTTGAAAACTGCGAAAGTGTCGGTTTTGCCTATTCTGATTTCATTCCTTGGGAGATGATGTTTAAATTCCGGGGAAACATCCTTCGCGATTGCAGGAGGAAGTAATTGCGGATGAGGGGAGAGGGCCTTCTAAAATTAATTGTTTCTCCTTGAGCTAATGGCCAGATTAAAGAGCATTAAAGTGAAGAAGGCAGGCAGTGTCAGGCCCCCTCACAGACTCACTATGACTTAGGTCTTCTTCTTGAGTCTCAAGTCAGAAGCAAAAAACACAGGGTTGAGCTGAGAATGACTGTTGAAGCAATTCCACAAAAAGGCTTCCAACTTTTCCAGGAAATGATCTAAGGCAAATTATTATTTAACAACAGAACTACTGACCTAACGCAACGTTAGAATATAATGAATAATGCATTCAATTTGGTTTGGATTTATTAGAAAAGAGAGGCTGGCTAAACTCAAAGCAACCCTCTCGCCTCAAGAAAAAGAAAGGTACCTTTTGGGGTTTTTGGGTTTGTTTGTTTTTTGAGACAAAGTTTCACTCTTGTTGACCAGGCTGGTGGTGTGCAATGGCATGTTCTTGGCTCACTGCAACTTCTGCCTCTCCAGTTCAAGCGATTCTTCTGCCTCAGCCTCCTGAGTAACTGGGATTACAGGTGCCTGCCACCACGCCTGGGTGATTTTTTTGTATTTTTAGTAGAGATGGGGTTTCACCATGTTGGCCAGGCTGGTCTGGAACTCCTGACCTCAGGTGATCCGCCCACCTCAGCCTCCCAAAGTGCTGTGATTACAGGCGTGAGCCACCGTGCCTGGCCATGGGGACTTTTGTTTTATATGCTCTACAATACCAGACTTCAGGTAGGTCCAAATTTGGGGTCAGGGGAAGAATTGTTGCAAATAATTATCAGCCCCAAAAGAAGCTACAGTTGGGGAACATAGTCTGATACATGTTAAAAGTTTCCACCACTGCTTACCATCCTTTGTGTTGGTCCTGAAATTGGAAACAAGGTTGGGCTTCAGTTTCCCTGAAGCAGAATTGTTTTTCTGATGTCCTGTATAAGCCTCGTGTCTCATCTCTGAGTTTTAGTGTTCATTGCCACACACTTCATCCATCTCTTTACTATTCCTGTCATCTTGAATCTGGAATTCACATCCTACCCTCATCCCCATTTTTGTCCATCAAAATGTGAACCATCTTTCAAAGCTAATCTCAAAAGCCACCTCTTCCAAGAAGCCTTTCTTTATTCTACTGTCCCTGATACCCCAAACAGGTGTCATCTCACCCTCCCCAGAATTCTCAAAGCACTTTTCTTATAGTAGTTGCCGTGCTGTGGTTATTTAAGTACTTTATATGTTGACTTTAGCTTACTAGAATATTATAAGTTCTTTGAAAGCAATGATTATTTTTCTTATGCCCTTCTGTATACTCAACAGAGCCTCAAGGAATCCCAGGCACATAGAAAGTGCTTAGTAAATACGAATGCTTTTAATTCAATCTAATAAAAAATGTATTGAACACCTACTAATGAACAGGCAGGCCCAAGTAACACTGTAGAGGCAGAGAAATCTAAGATATATATCTCCAAGGAAGCTTAACAGGCTAATCAGGGAAACAGGATATATGTTAATGAGTAATATTATATAAACCACGAAGATTACAAAAATTCAGAAGAGAAAATGATCTTCAGGAAGGTTTCACAGAGGACACGGATTTGAGCTAAGTCTGAAAACATGGGTAAGATTTAGCTGATCTAAGGTAAGAAGAGCAAGCATCTCAAGTCTTTGACAAAGACTTAAGAATAATAGGCCGGGCGCGGTGGCTCAAGCCTGTAATCCCAGCACTTTGGGAGGCCGAGACGGGCGGATCACGAGGTCAGGAGATCGAGACCATCCTGGCTAACACAGTGAAACCCCGTCTCTACTAAAAAATACAAAAAACTAGCCGGGCGAGGTGGCGGGCGCCTGTAGTCCCAGCTACTCGGGAGGCTGAGGCAGGAGAATGGCGCAAACCCGGGAGGTGGAGCTTGCAGTGAGCTGAGATCCGGCCACTGCACTCCAGCCTGGGCGACAGCGCGAGAGTCCCTCTCAAAAAAAAAAAAAAAAGGAATAATAATGCACATGGCCCATTCAGGGTAGCCACAATTTGGGCCAAAGCAGAAAGTTATTGAGAAGAGCAGTGGGAGGTAAAAGTTGTGATAGAGAAAGGCTGTGGGCTGGGCATGGTGGCTCACATCTGTAATCCCAGCACTTTGGGAGGCCAAGACAGATGGATCCCTTGAACCCAACAGTTCGAGACCAACCTGGGCCAACATGTAGAAACTCCATCTCTATTTTTAAAATACAAAAAAATTAGCCAGGCATGGTGGCATGCACCTGTAGTCCCAGCCCCTTAGGAAGCTGAAGTGGGAGGATCACCTGAGCCCAGGAGAGGCTTCAGTATACCACTCCACTCCAGCCAAGCTGAGAGAGTGAGACCCTGTCTCAAAAAAATAAAAAATAAAAAGAAGGCTGTGATCAAATTGTGGAGATCTGGCTAATTCATTCAGACTTTATTTTTCATATATGCTAAAAAGTAGGACACTGAAGGCTTTAGGGAAAACTTCCATGCACCAGAACCTGGGTTTAGTGGTATAAATGCATTGTGTCATTTAATAGTCATAATGTCTCTACTCTTTTTCTATTTCGCAGGTAAGAAAACTGAGGCTCAGTGAAGTTAAGCAACTTACTCAAGGTCAGGCAGTCATGAAGCTGGGATTCCATCATTCATCTATTAATTCAAAACACTTTTGCTGAGAACCTATGTATCGTGCCCTGTGTTAGATGTTGGGAAAACAGCAATTAAGACAGTGTCCTTGGCCTCATGAGCCTTACAATCGAGTGGGAGAAAGTAAACAAGTCATCAAACAAGATAATCACTAGTTATAATCACTACTCTTAAGTAAATAAAGGGTTATGTGAACAGGAGTAACTGGCATGGGATAGGGAGAACTTCTCTGAGGAGGTGGGGAAAGATTCACCCGAGGAGATGAGTCAAGGACAAGCTCTCTGATTCTAGAGTTCTTGACCACTATGTTGTATTGGCCTATAAAAATGGTACCATCTCCAAAATCTGCCCTTAGGGGAGAATGGATTAGAGGGGGAAACCTGAGGCAGGGCATCAGAAAGACTGACTCTAGCAACGTGGTAATTCAGGAGCCAAGGATGGTGGCCAAAGGAAAGATGTGCCCACATCCCCCACTCCCCTGGAAGGCAAGTCCCAGCCATGGCAGAATTGGATGGAGTAGGTAGGGTAGGGAAAGGAATTGAGAAGTAGTGGTGATTCCTGGAAGGTCTGGTGAATCTGACTTCTCTCCAGTACAAATGTGGAAAAAGTCAGAGCCTCTGGCCCTTGACTCCAGGGTCAAGAGCCCCATCTTCTGGCCTATTGTGCAAATTACAAAGGGAAGTAGGCCACAGAGGCAGCAGTTAAGGTTGCTGCTATCTGGGGCACTGCAGAAGACAGACTCTACCATCCCCATCCTCAAGGATGATTTGGTCTCTCCTTCCCAGAAAAAGCTGGTTCGCTTGGCTCTAGGCACGAGGCTCCTAACATCTACTGCTCCTTACCCTGGTTGGAAAAACTCAAAATACATGGCTCTGAGCCTGGGCAGCAGACAAGTCCTAGTGGAGCTGGGGGTATTCAGCCAAGGACATCACCTCACACTGATTATTTTTCTAAAGAAATCAGAAAAAAACAGCATAACAGAATTTAGAGTTTCTTGAATCTTCAGTTAGCCCAGAAAGAGGCATAAAGTAGGCAAGAAAATGGAAAATACATGTGTAGAGGTAGGGACAACACATACACACACACACACACACACACACACGCACATCATACCAATAGGGAGGCAGGGAGGTATGCTACATGGATGGCCTCGCTTCATCCTTGCAACAACTCTGAGGTAGGCACTATCATCCCATTGTATAGATTAGAAAACTGAGGCTTGGAGATGTAACTTCCCCAGGTCACACAGCCAGCACAGTTAATAGATGGAGACACTAGACTGAGCTCAGATGAAATGATTCCACAGTGCATGAGCTTCACCACCCTACTGTCTCCCATGGGGATGCCTGGAAATTTCATCCTTCTCTAACATTCATAGGCTCCACTCTCTCTTTGTGGCTTCCTGACGTGGCCATCCTTCCAGATTTTGTTTTAGACCCATTCTTTCTCTTCTATAATACCAGTGGTTCTTAAACTTTGCGGAAAGTGGTAGGTCTTGAACTCCCTGGAGACATTAGAAAATCTATGGATTATCTTTTTCAGATAAGTAAACAGAGCCCAAAATTTTGCATATAATTGTAAGGATATGTTCACAGACTTCTCAAGGAAGCATGAGGCACCTTACGTATATGATCCTTAAATATCCTGAAAGACATTGAGATTCTTCTATTCAGAGACAGTCACAAATATAAGAAATGCATAAAGTCTGAGCAAATGTTCTTAAATAATTTGCAACCAGTTTTTTCATCAAAAGCATCTTAACTCCTCCATCAGTTTACTATGTCTCTTGTTCTGTGTGAACTGTCCAAAGGGCCACGAGGGACGAGGTCTTAGGCTTTACTTGCCATTAAATAGCTCCCAGTTTCCAACTGCATCTTATACCTGATTTTATTTCTCCACTTCTTCTTACTTACACATCTAAACCCAAGATGTGGTTGGAGGAAAAGACGTTGGGATCTGAGGAAAGACTTAATTAGGGCTTGTTCATGCTGTCGTCTGGGAGCATTTCCTGTGGAAGGGAGGGGTGAGAGGGGGAGTGAGAGAGCTTCTTTGTCAAGCT